TGTAGACAGTGAAGAACATTATCACCTTGATGGTAAGGAGCTAACTTAGGCTACTTTTCCCTGTTCCTGATTTGGAACCCTCCTCCATCCCCTTCCTTTCAGAGGCTTAAAAACACCTTATGTCTCTTGCCCTATCTCTCTGTCTTTCTTCTAGTGGCCATAAAAACAATGAACAAAGTTGCCAGCCACATTAATGAAATGCAGAAAATCCATGAAGAATATGGAGCAGTGTTTGACCAACTCATAGCAGAACAAACGGGGGAGAAAAAAGAGGTAACATGATCAAATTTAAGGGGAAGAAGGCTTTTATTTTGTCATCTGTAGCCATAATGTTAAATTGTATCAAATATTTACCTTTTGTGCTATGTCATTTAAGTGGATCCTGATGCAGAAAAAAAGATCCCAATCCAATTTAAAAACTGCTTTTCCATGTGTAGTTCAGTGAGTGGGAGCAATGTAAAGAAGTAGTGGGTTAATACATCTTCAGTCTAGTGCTTGGGTCAAAATTACATCCCAACCTACAGCTCACTGTTTGTATACAACTGTGTGTATAGCTTGGCTGTCCTTGTTTCACATAACTAATCCTGCCCCACCAGTCTGATTGCACTGGCATGCTGAGGCAAGTCTGTACTTAGCTCTTTAATCACTTTAAAAATATCGTAATGTGAGGTGTAGTGTGTGAGAAACTGTGGTTTCTCTTTTAGAAAGTGTGTTAGTGGGCTTGATAGAAGAGAGAACCTTGGGCTTTGGTTTAGATGTCTCATGGGGTGTATGCAAATGTGTGAAGATCCACTGTGGCTCAGTCCTCTCTGACCATCTCAGAAACCCATGGAAGGTGTCGTGAAGTTTCAGACTGAGACAGGGACACTCCTCTTGCCAATAAAAAAGAAGTAGGTCTGCATTTCAGTGGTGCAGTGAAGGAGAGTGGTGGGCACTAAAGGAGGAATGGAGTAAATTTGAGGGGGACTCAAGGAAAGAGGTAGAGGCACACTAAAGGGCCAACGGGGGCATGATGCAGGTGAAGGCTTGAGAGAGACATGGCCACATGAAGTAATGGTAATGGGGTTTATGCCAACAGCCAGGATGAAGAACAAGCATAAGAGACATTGGGCTACAAGGCAAAGGACATCTGGGATTGATTAGTGTTGAGGAAGCTTTGGGTGTGAGAGCTGGATAGCAGCAGTGGGGAGGGGCGATCAGATGGTGGATAGAGGGCAGAGACTAGGGTTGGTGCTGGCAAGCAGTGGTAGAGAGAGCATGTCAGGACATCTGTTCGGGGAGCAACTGTCATTTATGCTAATATGGGAGATGAGACAGTAAACTTAGTGTAAGTTTAGGAAGTACTAATCTCAGTGTGTCTCTTGTAATTGGGGAGACCTTGGGTTGTTTTACTGATGGTATCTGTGGCATCCTTTTGCAAAAGTCAGACTAAACTGAGGGGGGAGGGTAGAGGAATGGGAGAACATGGCCCCTAGACTCGTAATAGTCCTCAGTTTGTCACTCTGGGAGACCATAAGTCAAAGTGAAAGATCCAGTGGCTGCAATATTAGTAGGCATCTCCCAACAGTTGTTATGAACTCCTTTATTAGTCCATTTCCAGCAGTGTGGTTTCCACAGATGAACTTTTGCAGGAAATCAAGAGCCATAGCAACTGTGGGGAGGAAGTGCTTTCACTGCTTCCCATGATGCAGTCTCTAAACTTCACCCCAAACTATGTGTATGTGTTGGGGCCTATGCTTAAAAGTTCAAACACAATAGAAAGAAACTGGTAAAGAGAAAGATGGATGAAGGAGAAAAAAGGCAAGGAAAAATTACAATTTCTGCTCTGACTTCCCACCAAATTATGAGAGCCAGACTCTGAGCTTGATTTATCCTAATTTATGCTCACCAGTTAGGGATTTACATGCATCTGTTGCTAACTGTCACAACCTGTTTACACATGCTTGCAGTCATTTGATGAAATATTCCAAAAGTTTGCTTGTGGGGTATTTTTTGTTTGTTTAGGAGTAAACTTCAAGCAAGTTTTTTTGAACTGAAAATTCAAGTAAGCTTTCTAGAACTTATGGCACATTGTGTCTTTGTGCATGTGTTTGTGTTGGCAGGTTGCAGACCTTTCAATGGGAGACTTGCTCTTGCATAATACAGTGATATGGCTGAATCCTCCTGCTTCACTGGGGAAATGGAAGAAGGAACCTGAGCTGGCAGCATTTGGTTTGTAACTTAGTAATTTTATTTCAACTGCCTAAAAGACTGTAAACTGTGTCTTGGCAGATATTTGCTAAAGGTAATTGAGCATTGCCTTCTGCAAAGTTGGCTGGAACTTACAACTGTATTTGTCTCTTTGCTGCAATGGTCAAATTCTGTTCTGTGTTGTTATCAATCTGGTGAAGAATTTGGAGATGCCTTCTGTAATAGTGCAAGGGTTTCTTAAGCTCATATCCAAGGCTACAAATTGAGAGCTATATAGAGAAGTATTTGTCTCTGAAAATATACAGTTTGTTAGTCTTACTGATGCCAAGTAACTCTACTTCACATCCTGTAGGATGGGGGCTTGGGGCTTGTAGAGGGTTTGCTTTATATCTCTGTGACTTTTGCCAGAAAGAGCTTGTATATATAAGTTTTAAAAATTGCCTAAAAAACTAAGCCAGAACTCCCAGTAAGTTACTTTGGAGTGGTCTGTCTTCCTCTGAGTAGTCTATCTTGAGTGGCCAAACTGGAAATTGAAACTGCTGTTGGCATAGATCTCAAGGTCTTTCCACTGCATTGAAGTACGGTCCCTTGGAAAGGTACATGTTCTCTTATATTGGCCAAATCACATTTATTTTACTTCCAGAATTATATCAAGCAGTTCACAGTGTGCTAAGTGTTCTTTATTTGTTCCTAAATTTCTTTACACGCAATGGGAATTTTTCTTGTTGTTTCCAGAAAGTTATGCTGGTTAGGTAGCCAGTGATTTGGCTTCTGTTTTATAACAGATAACAAATGAAGACTCTTTCAGCTTTATTCTGGAAGAGCCTATAAAAATTCACAGCTTTTCTGTAAGTTGGGAAGGCACCTGGTCATACCCTGAAGCTGTGTGGCCTCATGAAAGCTGCTAGGAATGTGCAGCAATGCTTAATTACTCTAAAAATCTTTAAATTGATTTAATAAAATGTCCACAATTAAGTGTCCATGCCATTCATTCTGAAAACAAAGGGTGCGTTTGAGGCCTGAAGGAAGAGATCACAAGGAAATCTGGAGTCCTGGAAGACAAATTCCAGCTCCATGTGGATGTTACGTGGCAAAAGCGGAATTGGATATTTCAGCATAAACCACTGTCCCACCTGTGAGTGGTTCATATTCTGTCCAAGTGCAGCTACATCTACTGACTCCCTGCGTATAGCTGGATGCTGCTCATTGCTGGTAGATGCTGGTCTGAGGTGAAGTTAGGCAGGGGGATAAAAGTTTTATAAAATTATATAGATCTGTGACTGTTCAAATAGTTGTTCTGATAACTGGTGACTTAAACTCTTTACTTTTCAAGTGATTTTGAAGTAGCCTAATTCTGTGGGGTGAAAGGTGTTGAGCTTGGGTTTTCTGGGAAGAGTATTGGTAGGTTTACTCCTGCCTTCCCTTCCTGACTCAGGTGAGGGCTGTCAGGGGAGCTGAAAGGTCTGTGTGCTTGGGCATAGGAGGAGAGCTGTTCCAAATCGTACTGACTACGTGGCTTTTGTTTCTAACTTTCTCCTCTAGTGTTCAAAACTGCTGTGGTCCTTGTATACAAGGATGGTTCCAAACAGAAGAAGAAACTTGTAAGTTGTATAGACTTACTTAGTGATGCTGTGTTCATTTGTGGTGCTCTGATCAATATTTGCTTTTCATAAAGCTGTGGTGCTAGAGTGTGCTTTTGCATACATGATCCTTGTTCTCTGCCACACAGCTGAGGTTTTGGGTAACGGTGAGTGGCCTGCTTTTCAGCATGGGTGCAGCACTCTGCAAGCCTTCATTTAATTTATCTTTTGCTCCCTACCAGACTAGTAATTCATGTTGCCTGCCACATCTGTTTCATGCTGTGGACCAGACTTTCACGGTGACATTCAAGGTGTCACCTTGAATGTGTTTGACTCTTCGGTCAGTGTATATAAATCACATATGAGAGGTGATGTCTGCCAACTGTCTCAGTGAAACACAATGCCCTCACTTCAGTTCTGGCCATTGCATGCCACTGAGCAAGTGCTGGTTGCTCTCAGCAGAATTAGGTGTGCCTATAGTATGTATATAGTATGTATCAGGGGATCCTACTGGAGTTTGAGATTAAAAGTTAAAGCTAAGCTTGACAGTAAAACACATGCTTTCCTACAATAGGGAACATAATTTATAGTATTACAGAAAAACTTATTGATTCCCACGTACAGCATAAACCAAAGTGTGTTTTGAAATGCTTGCATGATTAAAGTCAACTGGCCACAAGATAACTTTGGATTTCTAAAGCATGTTCATGAGTGTATGTGCACTTGAAGGAGAGAATGCAGCATTGGTCTCAAATCACTTCTGAAGGCATTGATAGAGTTGATTTGCCTAGATTTGTCTAGGTTTTATCAAGATCTTCACAGATAGGCACTTTAGTGACACTGGTTACTAAGATGTAGTGAAAAAATAAGAATTGCAACAAGTCCCTAGCTGGACATTCTTAGTACAAAGCACTGGAGAAGTGTGTGTCTATCCCAAGGTGTCTCATTTCCAAATGGTATTTTGAAATTCTTCCAGGGAGGATCACATAGAGCTTCAATTTATGAAGACTGGGATCCGTTCCGCTTTCGCCACATGATACCTTTAGAAGCTCTGCAGGTTCGAGCGTTGGCAAGTGCAGGTAATGTTCCCACTGCATGAATTTGGCAGGGTTCTAAATGTTTGCTCTGGGCCACTCACTGACCAATGTTTGTCCTTGGTCCATGTGTACGCAGTTGCTGGGATCTGAAAAGGGGAACCCACAACCTCAACAAGCATTATGGCCTCAGTGAGAGATGATGGGGCAGGAGCTCCAGTTGTGTATTTCCAGCTTGTCAGTACTTTCCTAAATCCAGGCAGGGTTCTAGAAGAATAGGGCAAAGTCGTTGCTGACTCTGGTTCACTCTGTTCCTCTTCTGGAGACTACAAGGCAGTCTTGCAGCTGTGAGACAGTATAGCCAGGGAATTTTTAATCTTGTGCTCGACAACTTCACGTCAAGCTTATAGTTTTAAAAAAGTTAAAAATTTTAAACAATTTGCTCCCTTTCTAATGCATAAGTGAAAGTGGAAAGAATATAGGAGGTAGCTGTAAAAAGTGACAGTACTCTGTGAAAGAGCTTAAAAGCTGGGTTGGTTGGTTTTTTGGGTTTTTTTCATATTTTTATGGGACTGAGTGCATGTAAAATACTACCAGATCTTGGTGAGTTTAAGAGTCTACTGTTTCATTAGTCACTTGCCCACTGCTGCCTTTCAGCCAAGAGTTAATAGTATTTACAGTTTATTATCTATTGTCCTGGATAATCTTAAACCGTATCTTCAGGATTATGGAATAAACACTCTAATTGAGGTTAAATATGATAAACTGTTAGATGAAGTTCTGCTTGCTTTTCACTATAGATGCAGAGACCAATTCTGTATGTGAGATTGTCCACGTAAAATCTGAGTCTGAAGGCAGGCCAGAAAGAACGTTTCACCTTTGCTGTAGGTAAGTGCATTTCCATGTTTTTCAATGGCAGCGGCATCTCTGGATCTCAACTTGCCTGTTTATTTCCTGTAAGGCAATCTGATAACAGGCAATCGGGGAAGTGGGGAGAAGGTATTAAAATCTTACTTCTGGCAGGCAGAATTTTGTAAACTATATTAAAATAAAGGCATATATTTGATCAGCTCTGCACCTCTATGGGAATATCATTATTACAATTTTCCTTTCGCAAATTTGTAACTAGTTAAACTCCAGTATTGGATCTTTATGTCAGGTAGCTGCTTATACTTTTCATGCCATCAAGTTCCAACCTTTGCTCTTAGAACATTGCCCCTTCCTTGAATAAGCCTTGTCCATCTTCCTTGTGGTGGTTGCCCTGATATGTTTTAGAGTTCAAATAAGAACTTGGTACAAGAGTTCAACAGGGTCTAACAGAGCTGACACCAAGCCAATTCCTACTACTAGGAATTTTGTTAGGGAGTTGTAGGACTGTTTAGGGTGTGTTTACAGAAGACAAACTGAGATTTAATTAGCCATCATAGGTCAACTTGATAGTTATCAGAAAAAGTGAAGTACATGGTTGGTATTGGAGGAAGAGGAAGGCTCAAGAGGGGTGAAAAGCTAAATGATTTGTTAATTAGCAATGTATTAGTTTCCTTGGATGTCCATTGCAATAATTATGGATTTACCTTTTGAAAATACTGAATTAAATTGAGTCTTCTCTGGGTGAAGTGTGTGTCAGTCAGTTTGACCTGTCTTAAATTACAGAACTGGTCATCATTTTTCTGCTTTACAGTGGACTTGTAGCAGTTCCTAGGAGATAACGCTGCCTTTTTTTATTCTCCCTTATTTTTCAGTTCACCAGAACACAGGAAGGACTTTCTGAAGGCTGTGCACTCAATTCTGCGAGATAAACACAGAAGGCAGCTTCTTAAAACCGAAAGTTTGCCCTCATCCCAGCAATATGTTCCTTTTGGTGGAAAAAGATTGTGTGCTCTAAAAGGTGCAAGGCCAGCCATGAACAGGGCAGGTACTGTAGGGCTACAGACTTTCAAGATCCCAGTAACCCCAGCACCATTGTAGGACATGTGGTCATGTCTGTCACTTGTATATTAAGATTAGCATTCTTTCCTATGTATGTAAAAACTGCTGGTTTTCCATGCTTCACCTCCTTGAGAGCCTTAAATAGCCTCTATTTACCTTGCTTTGCACTCAAGACTTAGCTTCAGAGCGGTCCTTCTGACATGGAAGGAAGAAATGGGATTCCTGTCAATACTGATTGGCTGTGCACTTTAATCTGGAAATGGGTTTTGGCTGAACAAAGCAGAAGCCCACTGCTTATTTCTTAAAAGCATGTACAGAATTTTGAGCTAACCCTAGCACTTTTAAACTAAAATGCACAAGAAAAATCAGCTCCCCTGAGTGACTAGATTGGTTTGAAGAGATAGCTTTATATGTCATCCATTTTAAAACTTTTCAGCTCTATTGCTGACGGGCACATGCTTCTACTTCTCACATTTTGAGAGGCATGCACTCGATGCTATTATTTTTGTAATGGCCTGTCCTAAACCATGGATTTTCCTTTTCAGTTGACTTCAGGCAAAAGCAATGAAAAAATCCCAGGGAAAAGCAGGTTTTCATTCTCAGAACACTAGATGGTGGAGGGAAGAAACATTTGCTTCCAACTGAAAAAAGTACATGGCACCGCTGCGTGTTTTGTTCTGGTCTGTTGTTATTTTGGTGGTTTTTTTCTGCTCATTAGATCCAGCAATGTAGACAACCAGGCTTTCTGTTCCTCTTCTGTCTTGGGCAGGCCAGACCAATAACATTCGCAGCATGGCTTCTCACTCGGAGTGTTGCTAGCCATCTGCCTCAGAGACACTTAAAATAGTAAGGAAGAAGAGTCAAAGGAGGGCTAAAATGCAACTACTTTACCTCAAGGCTTCTTCAGTCAGCCTTGTGGGGCTTATCTGCTGTAGATGCCAAACTGTCTTTCAGCTTGGCTCGTTGGTGCATTTGCATGATGAATTCTGCAGAGATTAAAATCTCCTTTTTAGAGTCCAGACCTCTCACTACAGTTAAAATTTGCAACTGCTGAGCTTTTGTACTTAATGCATGTTTTGAGGCTCAGGGATATTAAAATGTAACCCTGCCCCCAAGCTAGAGTTGGAGAAATAGATCCTGAAAGTGCTAAGGTGCTGTTTAGTGGAGGGGGACAAACTCTCACCTCGGCGTTCACCTGCTTGCCATGGAGCTACGTGTGTGTGCACGTAAAGCGCCGGAAAGCCTGCAGGTCCTTCCGCTGCAGGATTCGTCCCCTGCTTTGCCTCACGAGTCTCTTATGAAGATGTTCCAGCACAGAAGATGTGAATTTGCTAATTGGGCCTGTTGCAAAAGCTAATAGACCAGCTGATACTGAGTAAGGAACTTCTGAAAGTTTTTTCTGGTTTTGGGGTTTGGTTCTCCCCCCCCCAGCCCAGTATGGAGGGGGCAGGGAAGGGAGCCGCAGAGCCTGGACAGGGAGTTTACTTCCCCATGAATAATACAAAAATTGCAGCATCTTCAGCACCGAGGTAGCTACTTGGAAACATATAGTGTTGATTTTACCCCAGACAAAGCAATTTCCCCTTCCGAGGCTAGTTGATTTTCGTGGTGTGCTGACAGCAGGGCACTGCGTGTGAGAAGCTGAGCTGAACAGATGCACTTTGTGCTGGCTGGCTGCCTGCCTACCGCTTAGGAGGAACAGTAATTGTGGGCCATTATCCCAACTGTGGATCTGAGTAGCAGAAACTCCTTTGTCAGCTGGAGAGAGACCTGTGCTGAGGAGCTCAGTGAAGTTTGACATGCCCACAGGGAGGATGCTGAATAACTAGGTCATTTCATGGGAGTCTGCCTGCTTTGTGCCTAGCGGTGTTAAATAAAAAAGGCTCTTGGAAGACTAACTTTTTACAGAGAGTTGTAACGTGTGTAAAACGCCTGTGGGGTTTTATCTTTGTGTGTGCGCAGTGTCAGCCCCAAGCAAGTCTCTTGGGAGGAGGAGGCGGCGGCTGGCCCGAAACAGGTTTACCATTGACTCAGATGCCGTCTACACGAGCAGCCCTGAAAAAGAGCCTCAGCAGCCCACGCACAGTGGGGACACTGACCGCTGGGTAGAGGAACAGTTTGACCTTGCTCAGTATGAGGAGCAGGAGGACATCAAGGAAACGGACATCCTCAGCGATGACGATGAGTACTGCGAGGCCATGAGAGGCGCCGTGGCCGAGCGAGACCTCCGGGAGCGGCTGCAGGCAG